GGGGACAGGGCTGACACCAGGGGCTAAGCAAAGCTGCTGACGGAGGTCGTGGTATTTTATTATGAAACATAGTAAAAAAAAAAAAAAAGTACAAATGCTGAAATTTCAAAATTTCCCAACATTTACCCTCAGTAGAAAAGGGGTCCGAGCGCTTGGTTCCTCGTCACAGCGCTAACGGGGTCTGCAAGGGACCTGCTGCCGTGAAGCGGCAATTTATTCTGCCATAAATACCCCGGCGCTGCGCCTGGCACGGGGGAAAACAATCTGGTAAAGGCGAGATTAAAGAAATAATCAGATTTGGCACCAAGAAGCGCCCCGCGGGCGATGGGTCGGGGTGGAAGGGGGGGACGGACAGGGAAGGCCCCGGCCGAGGGGACCCGTGCCACGCTCAGCTTAACTCCCGGGGTTTGTTATTCCCCTTCACGGTCGTCTAGAGAGGATCTAGTTTGTGTTTCCGTGACCTCCTCCGCTCATCCCCGCCGGATTTACAACGCCCTGCTTCCAATTTAGGAGAACGGGAACCGGTTAGAGCTGGTTACTGCCAACAAGAGGGAAATAGATGTCTAATCAAACCCAAACTGGTTCCGTTAGCGCCACGCCACCTCCTCCACCGAGGAGAAACAACACACGCTCATTTTAAGACCGCAACTTCTGCATCGGCGTCCCCGGGAAGCGGGCCGGGATTCTCCCGCCCGCACGAGCACTCAAGCGAGCGTGGATGCGATCCCAAGCTCGCGGCGGAGGGGAAGTGGGGCTGGATGTGTGGGCGGAGGGGAGCTCGGCTGCTCTGCCTCGGCAAGAGCGCAGCCTTCGGGAGCGAAGGGGTTTGTTTAGCCTTTAACCTCTTCAGATCCCGCGCTCGCCGGTGAAAGTGGCGCGAGGCGTGGGCGAGAAAAGCCCTGACGCGGCAGAGTCCGGCCCGGACTCCCGTGGGAGGTTATTTACCCGCTCACAACAGCCCTACGCTGCCACGGCTGACTACGCACCGACCAGAAAATTGCTGGTCTTGGCTTAAAAAGCTCCAAATCCTTTCTGTGGAAGAGCAGAGGATGCAGCCGGGTTTAAATTCTTTCGGAATTTGGGCGGAGATCAAGTTCTCCTCGTCTTTGTTCAGACCCCGTACGCAAGTGCTTCTAAATATAAAATTAACGTGTGATTCCCCCCCCCACAAGGCGAAGCAGCAAGAACACTGTCAGCTTTATTTGTTCCAACTCTATAAACCAAATGCAGTTACCGTGAGCGCCACGGACTTTTTTTTTTTTCCCTCCTCTTCTGAAGGGGAAGTTTGTTTCCCAGCTGAAGGGGCTTTTTGGCAAAACCGACCCTTTTCAGGGGAAGGATGGAAATCGCTGAGAATCGCAGTGCTGTCGAAGGCACAACACAGCGTTTATATACACTACAGCTGCCGAGCTCTTCAAATTTACAAATAATAAGCACAAATTTCAGGCAAAACGTAAAAGCCGAAGTTGACAGTGTCCTTTTACATCCGTAAACGCTTCCGGGTATTAGAAGAATCTGCCTGGATTTACTTTAACACCGTCTCGAACCCTCTGACGCAGATTTTAAGTTCAAACAAACCCAAATTGTCAGTGTTCTGGGGAACAACAGAAAATAACTTAACACGTGCTTAAAGTCAGCGAGGAAACGCTGAAGTAATCGATAACCAGGAACCGAGTCTCTCCAAAAATTCATCGATAAAAAATAATTATTAAAGCCTTCTTCAAACCATCTTTTGGAAAAAAGATAAAAAAGTCTTATTTATAAATATAGCTACACTGGTTATAAATAAATGCACTTAGATTCTCAAAACCCAGCAAGTCTCACGAAGCCTTTACAGTAACAGTCACGTAAACCTTCCTCTCCTACTGCTCGTTGGCGAACCCAACCGGCGAAACGCTGTGAAACGTTGCCGAAGACGGGGTTTCGGCAGACCCCACCTTCCTTTTCGGGCCCAACCTCCAGGAACTGACTGATTTTAGGGTGAAAAGCAGTTTCCTCTCGGGGTGAGAAACTCCTTCAGAGCCGTGACCGTACGCTCATACCTTTATGAACTCGTTAGTCCGCATTACGTCTCCGACGTCACGATACGGCCGATCTATCGGCAAAGAAACGTTAACAAAGGCAGTACCTGAACCAACAGAAAACCGTATTATCTGGACACGCTTGGAAATAGCAGGGAAAAACGCAATGCAAGGACCGTGACATTGAATTATTACCTTGAATCCCGCCAACAGTTACAAAACTAGGGCAAAAAACCCCAACAAACCCCAAACCAATGAACTACGGGCCAAAAGAGCGATAAATTTTTATCTCACGAGAAGACATTCTCAGGGAGCAGGCCAGCTGCTGGGGCCTCGGAGCCGCAAGCCACTCCTCGCCGTTACAACCTTTTTGCGACCGACGGCACAGCTTGCGTGATGGCTATTTTTCTGAACTTCACTTGTTTATGGTATTTTTCTAAACTTCACTTGGTAACCTTTCATTATCAAGCTCCACCCGATTATTCGGGGTGCTTCCAATCAGTTCCCTGCTCTTTGAAACCCATAATCCGCTGTACTAAACGGATCCCTGCACTAAACCGGCCCATAAAGAGTAAAAAAAAAAAAAGACAAACGTTTCAGTAACAAGATCAGCTGTTTGTTAGAAAAGGTTTTAGTATCTTTAAAAATAAAAACTGTTTAGTACAAAATAAAAGTGACATACGTATCTCCAGGGACAGCTCGACTCCCAAGCTCTCTTGCAGCAGCCGCCGTACGTATAGTTCTGCGTACATAATCAGTTAACGCTACCGGTCAGCGCAGAAGTGTCAAATAGAACATTTGACTAAATATCATAAAATTGAGGAGGAATTTTTTGCTATCCCCTTGGGTAATTAAGGGGTCTGACAAAGAGCTCCCCCAAATTGCTCCTGAAACAAAGAGGGCGAGGCGTAGTATTCCCCGATAGCGTGAAATGCTCCGGCTGACAGACGTCCAGCCCGGCCTTCGCTCTTGCATTGAAGGTTGCCTCAACCAAAAGGATTCATGGTTTTGGAAGAAAAAGAACATGTAATTCACTTTTTGGCTGAAAGGGGAAATCCGCTCCGCACCTCTCAAGATTTTAAAGCAACACCCCAAGAGACTACTTTTTCTGAAGGTGCAGCTCCGGTCACTCGACCTCGCAGAAGGGAGCGAACACCTCAGGTTACTGCAGAAAGTCTCTTTTCAGTGCTGTAATTTCCAGGCAGCTGAGAGCTAATACCAGCTGCTTTGGCAATGAGGTATTTCTTTCCCACCCCCCAACAATGCAGGTATTGACATCACCAAATAAGCCGTCAGGTCACTCTCTGGCTAAAATTTTGTTAAAAAGCTTCCAATCTCTCAAGGTCAAGCTTTAAAAGCACCTTTTGGCACCGCGCTGAAAGCAGTTATGCTGCAAGCGGCTGGAGAAGCTTCTACCCCCGGCAACGGGGTGGCTTTGACAACAGCCCTCTGCTCTCACCACCGCTTGCCAACAGCACCTTATTTAACAAAAAAAAAAACCCAACAAAAAAAACAACAACAAAAAGTTATTTTCCTTTACAAAACCCAGTCAATCACCGAGGATTAGGAGGTTACAGTTTCCACAGCAATATCAGTTGGCTGATCCGTTTCCAGCATGGACAGCACGGATTCCTTGATGTCTTCTGAGGTTACCACAAGCGGGTCAACCTCGGCGACCTCTTCGAGCACCGCCACCTCAGCTCCGTTGGGCTGCTGCCTCACCATGGCTGCCAGCTTCAGCCGGTACTCTTCCGCCTCTTGCTCTTTCTTTATGAGCTGGCTACGATATTCCTGAGCCTTCCGGTTTGCCTCTTGCAACTGCTGCTGTAGCACTTCCCTTTCAACGCTGTCCTACAGAAAACAAAAGTTGAGAGAGCCCACGATGGAGGCCCAACCTGCGACACGAAGGAAGCGGGGTGTGCAAGCACTCCAACAGTTACGAGTTACAAAAGCCAAAGGCTCTAAGGCGGCGCTAGAAACGTGCTCGGGTCGAGTTCTGTTCAACTGGCTTGCTCCTCGCAGGTCACCACAGGCAACCGGGCCACGGAGAGGCACAAACCGGCTGGCAGGTGTCCCCACAGCGGGCAGGGAGGTGGGCTGGGAAGCTACACGTGATCTCACCGTGATGAATTTCAAAGGTTGGAAGCAGGTGTAACCAAGACGCATGAAAAATAAAGAGCTATTGGTGCTGAAAAGTTGAGAGGCAATCGAGAAGAACGTTCTTCTTCCCCAAGAGTGATGGGAGAGTCGTTCCTGCTGCTTTATGAAGAACTGAGACTTGGCTTACACCCAGCCCACGTGTTGTGCTTCTACAGGAAATCCTAAATAATCTCAGTAAACGACCACGATTCATCTAAAAACCCTGAGCTACAGCTTCAGCATAGGCAAAACGGCAAGTGATTTAGCTAGCTCTTTTCCTCCTACCTATACCCGACTGAGCACCGCTCCTCTCAGCTGCTTGCGTGTTCATTGCTAACGCAGGAGCATGTGCGGGAAGAGCAGAGAACCACCCAGCAGAGTTTGTTAGAGAGACATCCCCGGGCTCAGCCGAGCAGGGCGCAGCTCGTTTCTATTCTGAGGCGGCTTTGGCAGACCGGGAGCCCGACATCCTCAGCACAGCAGAGAAACACGCAGGAGACGGCGGCAATCAAAGTTACAAGCAGGAGTATCTACCTTGTCTTCCTTCGAGTCATCTACGTTTTGTTCCACTTTTTGCTTCTTGGCCAGTGGCTTTTCTTCCTCTTCTGCGTCATCTCTGTCTTCAATAACAGTCTCTTCTGCAACCTGACCAGCAGGTACAGTTAAAACTGGAAAATTAAAAAGGCGACAAATCATACAGTGTGAGACATGCTTTTGCACAGATGTTTCCCAAAAGACTTCTCTGAAGTCAGCGCATCAGCGTGGTTCTGGAGAAAAAGAGGAGACTTGTGGATCGGCAATGCCGAAGTCTTCCCCGAGAGGAGAGAAACTCTGGACCGGGTTTCCAGTTTCCTTTATTCAGGTCTCTGAAATACTTGAGAATTTCACCACAATGGGGCTGACAGATTCTGAAGTCAAAGATTTGCATCTTAGGAAACATGCGAGGTAAAAAACTACCATTCTGACGCCTCAGTAACGCAATTAATAGCCAAGACAGGCTAAGCAAGAGGAATAGAAAGCTCTTCTCGAAAATTCCCAGTACAGACAGTCCCAGTGGCTAAGCTCCGAATCAGCTTTAAGCGCATGCAAGAGCTGCAAATACTCCAGAGAATAAACACATTTTAAATCTGCAAACATGGGTTTTCACTTCGGGAAGCCAGTAGCAAGAATTCGTCCAACCAAGGAGGAGAAACGCACCACGTGAGCTACTGAAGGTAGCTCTACCTAAACAGTTCTCCCTTTGTCTTCCTTCGACTAAGAGTGGGTTACAAGCCAGGATTATTTGTAGTAATTTGGTAAATAATTCTGAATAATTAACAGCTTTAGAAAATTGCCTTTCACTCATGAAGCCCGTAAACAGAATTGATGTAACCTATCTCACATTGTAACACTGCATGCGTGTTACAGGAGAGCTGCTCTGCTTCCTAATCCTCTTTTTCTGCACCAACGTTAATCCCAATAATCGAATATCCCTAGGACATGCCTAAAGAACTGTCAGTAGCAGACAAGGCTGATGAATTACAGCCCTTGAGGAAACAAAAATTCAGTGTACGAGTGCTCTGGAGCTTTACCGAACACGATTTACTTTTGCCTTGTAAAATTGATAGATTGTATTGCCCTAGGCAACTAGAGTTATGGGAGGAAAAGGTGTATTTAAGCTGATATTAATGGCCTAATACTAAGTTTTACAAGAACGATGGAGTGATTGCTAAAGGTAACAGGCTGCAGTTTCATCGGCCGAGTGATTTACTCCCAGACCGGGAAGTTCACCACAAGATAAAGGAATCGTCTTTGCCCGGCTGCCAAAGAGACAACGGCTAACCTGGCATTTCTCCTCCCGCAACCTTCTACCAAAGGTGTTTGGTTTTAACGCAAAGACCAAAATATTAAAGCGTAGCACCGTGAATGTGTATTAAGCTACAAACAAGTCGTTGGCAAGCTTTCCCGCTGACATAAGTCACACAGACATTTTAACCCCTCCTGGAGCCCAGTGGTCAGGCACGGATCCGTTACACCACAGCGCCGACAAGCCAGGTCACACCAGCCGCCTGCCCTGCGGGGCTCGACAGGCTTCACAGGCAGCAGTTATTTTTTCCTTTTTGAAGTTAATCCTCAGCGCTGCCTTCCGAGTTCAGCTCCTCCTTACCTTGCTGCCCATCTTGCATGGTTAGGATGAAGGGCTGGCCGAGGCCGCTGGTGGGGATGGCTGTTTGCAGCTGGCCCAGGGGAACTCCGTCTGTTACAATGGCGATGACGCGCTGCCCTGCGCTGCCAACCACTTGTTGTATGGCAGAATCGACAGAATTTGCTTCCACTATTTCCTCCGTCTTACCTTGAGAAATAAAGTAAAGTGCCAAAAAAAAGTCAGCGTTTCCTTCTCTCTTCCTTGAATAGAAACTGAAGTCTAGTGAAAAAGCTCAAGTAAGCAGCTTGAGACTCCTGGGATGCCTTCTTATGAAAAACAATCTGGAAATAGAGTAAGTCTTAGTAGGGGAAAGAAAACAAGTCTAGCATAAAACCAGCATTTTTTGTGTAAATTAGTAAGTACTAGCACACAAGCATATTAATCAAATTAAAAAGCCTGGAGCTGGAGGCAGCTGTTAAGCAGACCTGGCTCTGCAAAGCTTCCTTCCATGACCCTTCCCCCAGCTCTAACGAAGACAAACCACACGCAAAAAACCCCTCGTGCCCCAAGAGCCCCGTCCACACGAGCACGGCCAAAGCAACCATGAGGAGGCTGTTTAGTTTGGCCGGATGACCGCAGACCAGTTCAACTCCCTGGGACACTTTGTGTGTGACTTACGGCTCGCACAAATAATCAGGATCGCAAACCCTCGGCTGCATCCTGCTCCCAGCGTACGCTGCAAGCGCAGGAAACAGAGGGGACCTGACCTGCCACACACGGTCTGGGTGCCGAAGAGGAAAACACTCGAGCACCGCAGGTCAAGGAATCAGTGGTGCGGCACCGGCAGCTTAAAGAAGTCAAATTGCTCGCCTCTAGATTCTAGGAAGAACGCTTAGCTTTGGGGAAAATAAATGAATTCCAAGGTGAAAGGGTTATATAAACTTTATCAAATTTCTAAATCTGAGGTTAATTAAAGGTCAAACATTACACTCTACAAACATACCATAAAAGATCATAAAAACAACGCAAACACAAAAAACGCCCAATCCTCTCCGTAAGAAAAAGTTACCAGAGCCTCAAGAGACTCTAAACATTTGTTGACTACCAACATTTTACAGCAAACTGGGGACAGAAAACATTTCAGACAATTTCCTTCTTAAACAAATATTTATCTACGTTTATATATTAAAGTAAACCCATGTTCTGGTGCGCTGGGTTTGGGTTTTTTTCTTTTTTATGTAACTGTTAAAGCACATCAAGAGCAGCGTACTGTGATGTCAGGGTCAGACATGCTGGTTAATAAAAATTAAGTTACTTCTATGGGTAACAGTTGCTGGTTTTTTAATAAAGTTTGAATTGGGATTAAATAAATAAACAAAATTAACCCACTGCTTCACAAGTATTTATCATCATCTCTTCCTTACTCTGAAAGAAGGCAAATTCACTTCCACATCTCAAATTTCCTTCAATTTCCTCGCAAGATACTCGCTAGAACTACACAAATTTGGATCAGCATCCGACCCGTTGCCCCTACCTGTGTCTCTGTTTGAGTTGGAAAGCGGTGCCGATACTTCAGCGAGGGCCGCAAGCGTGGCAAGCACGGAGGTCGTTGAATTGGAAAACTGCACCGTAGAGACATGCGAGTCACCTGGTGGGGAAAGATGAGGGCAAACAAGGACTGTCAGGGCCTGCCATATCTAAACAGCGAATACAGAATGCAACGGTTTTGTCATCTAGAGATGACGACAGCAGGTATGAAGTATTTTCTGGGCTCCCAATGGTCAATAAAGGGAGGTGGTACAGATCATTTTTCATGAGAGGTGCCTCTACTAACTGTAAAAAGGGCTTTGATGCTACATTAGGGCAGACTGTACCCACTCCGAATAGTTTATGATAATTTTAATTGAATTGAAAGCAAATATTTCATTAAGTTATTTCTGAATCACGTAACAAAAAGAACAGCAAACGTGAACCGATTTGCTCCAGCTTTATTGTAAGAACTACAGAAAGGCAGGCTGTCTGCCGGGCTACTTGGCATGCCGAGCTTCGATCTGGAGACGTGGACGGCTTTTCAAGATGCAGCCACGCTGCCTGATGACACTCACAGACGTGCTGGAGTCTGACTGCTGTAATGTTGTGCAGAGCGGTTGCTACGCACGTAATTACTTGGCTTCGCGTCGTACTGGAACTTTCAAAAATTGCAAAACCTAAAGAAGATATTAAACTCGTTTGCTATTATGAGTAAATTACAGCACCCAAGTTCTTCCTCAGTTGGGAAAGTCTCCAAGTTCAGTCTTCAGCATTACTTCATAGACCAAACGTTTTAGCCCAAGTCAGTTAACAGCCTTTTGCTCAAACGCAGAAATTGGCTACGTATATCGCTTGATTTCAATGTACCAGGCACACAGGTCCTTTCTTCCTCCCCTCTCAGGTTCAGTAACGGAAAGGCCACGGTTACTGCAATGGGGTATTGATTTGAATGAGATAAACAAGTCTTCTGGGTTCAAAAAAACAATGTTTCTTCCTCCAATTGACCATAGTAATTCCTATTCAAAGGCAGACTTAATAAGAATGGAACAGGAAATTAACTAAACGGGCGCAAACTCAGTGCATATAACTCACAAGTCCTCTTTAAAAAAAAAAAAAAAGAGATCCTGTACCTCATTGCCAGCGTAGATAAATAGATTATACGCATACAAAGGGAAGTTCATCCAAAGTTCCCCTGCCTTAACCCTTGCAACCTATTTTCTCTCTTTCTCACAGGCTCCTGATTTTACAAAGGTTATCGAGGGACTTATTTTCAAAGAACGATACTTTCAGAAGGCCGTGGGCTAGGCACGTGAAAATACCACAGGCCTAGTGACTGTTTTCAGCAGCTTGTGACCAGATTTCTTCAGAAGAAGACATAGGGAATTTAAGAGAGACAAGAACAATTATTAGCTGTAAGTGTTAAATAAGAGATTTTTGTTATAACGAAGGTGCAGTCGCTGATGCCCTCTTGTGGGAAATGAGAAAAAAACCTCAGGAGACACTGGCTATTTTCACGCTGACCGGCTATTACCAGTGCTTGAAGTGTCGTGGGGGGAAAAACCCAGGGTATTTTAGTCCAGTCACACGTGGACAGTAAGCCACCGCCGTGTTGTGGCACTGAAAAAGGCGATTACATTGCAGGATACGTGAGGAGAGGTGCGGTGAGAGATGGGGATTTACGAGGCCAGTGCCAAGAGCGCAGCTGGAGCGCTGCCTGGGGCCGCTCACCCACACCCACGGGCGATTCAAGGGACTCAGGGTGACCGGCTCGCTTAGCCCAGCAAAACAAAGGCAGAGAGAGGACAGGACTGATTTCCACATCAAAGGGATGGAGGCGATACAAAAAGAAGAATGATTTCAACTAACAGCCTTTCAGCAGGGCATTGGCCTCTCTGACTCCTACCTGGCTTCCAGGCAGAGCCAGATCTGTCTGCAGAGACAGTGACACTGACCGTGGCCAGAGCATCACCCGGGGTACAAAAATCCCACGTTTTACGCCCCTTTGAGTTTCTGGAATATCCTTGACCGAAGACATTGTGCACCAGTCACACTGCAGTTTCCTCACAGACGGAACAGGAACATTTTTGGTCATTTTTCCCCTTCTAAGTTAGGATTTGTCAGTACCTCAAAGCTGCGAGCAGCCCCAAAAGCTTTGGGAGCAAGTCTGGAGCGTTGCTGAAGTCGCTGTGGCCAGGCACAGGCAGAGAGGTCTGGGTGGGACCGCAGAACATCAGTATCGGGGATTTTAAAAGCACTGTCTAGCTAATAAGCAAACATTCACGCATGTGAACAGTCCCACTAACCAAAGAATTACTCACATGCAGAAGTGTTTGCAGGATGAGGCCAAATAGCTTCACAACACTTGCATTTAGTAGCCTCCTTGAGACTGAAAAGAAACAATGGTTTGGATTTCCCAAATACAGAAAATTCACTTTAAGAGTTATTATGAAAATTTGAATTACACAAAAAGAATTCGCACTCAGCCTTAAGTTAAAAGTGTTTTCCCCACCAAAATAAGGCTCACAGAACAATGAGGAACCTAATTATTTCCATCTAACATGTGGGACAGAAGAAATAAGGACTAAGCTACATATCCAATAGACCTGCTTATTCTGCAGTTTCCTTACTCAACATTTATATATAGCAAAACATTAATTCAACGCTTGAAGCCAGTAAAGAACAAAGCAAACCATTCCCCAACCACTCTGCAGTGCTCAGGATTTGGCACAGGCAATAATTCTCATTGTTCCTCTGCTGCAATCAGCCAAATCCATTTTCTCAAGCTCTGCTGCTTGTAACAGACCCCGGAGCAGGCCCACAGCCGAGCTCAGCAGAGCTTTGCCACTTCCAGCGGAACCACCTTTATTTACATCAGCTAGAAATCTGCTCTGTTACCTTCGACGGCAAAAACATTCTGGGGCAGGAAGCAGTAGTTGGGTGTGTTTGGCTGTATTTCATTTTTCCTCTACTAAATGACCATCTGCCCTCTACTGGTAAGCAGTCTTAGGAACTTTTTTCAAGACTTTCACATTCAAGGTCACACAAAACCTTACCTGAGGTTGTTTTGGCATTTGCTGAAGAGACGAGACTAGCGAGATTGAGAACTTCCCCTGGTGCAAGAATAAATGGCGAGGTGAGAGTCACAGTGTTGGTGATGGGATCCGTTCTCTCTGGGTGAGTGTTCACCTGGTTCTGCATTGCTTCCTAGGAAAGAGAGTGGGGCCAGGCATACATTCGTCACGCTTGCTGTGGTATTTAGCATCCTTGAAACATTTGAGAGGCAGATTATTTCTCTCTGCAGCACGTCAGGGACACCAGTGCAAAAGCTGTGACAAAACTGCCACCTCAGCTTGGCAACTTACACTACAACCGCGCAAGATGCAGGGCCATAAAACCCCATCACCCACTGAGTCCTAGCAGACGCACACCGGTTGATCTAGAAATAATGCAAACCTCATCCACCTCTGTATTTCTAGTTCTCTCTGCGAACAGAAAACGGGCCCCAACAGACACAACAGGATCCCCCTCACTCTAGCGCAGATACAGCTGTGGGTCAGAGAATGACCAACAAGCTTCTCCTTCCTCAACCTACCTGTAGCATTACCAGAGTCTCCGGATTGTTCTTGTCCAAAGCAATATCAAAAGCCGATTTATCAAACTTGCTGAAAGCGTGGACATCAGCTCCGTATTTGATGAGCAGCTCTACAACGTCCCGGTGGTTGTGCTCTGTCGCCCAGTGCAAAGCGGTCATTTTCAGCATGTCCTTGGCATTTACATCAGCCCCGTTCTGAAAGAAATAAGCGGTACCTGTCTGGACGCTGCCTTCTCTCAATGTCTTAAAGGCGGTGCCTGCGCTAGCATTTAAACAGGGACATCAACACTTAACTCCAAGGACCATTTAGACCAGCCTTAAAGCGATACCTAATCTACTATACTTACCCTAATTAGCAGTTCTACAATATGAGTGTGTCCGTCAGCCGCAGCCATGTGTAGTGGCGTCCGGTCCACTTTTGTTCGGGCGTCTCTGCTAACACCAGCTCGAAGCAGCACTTCTGCTGTCGAATAGTGGCCGTACTGGGCAGCGAGGTGAAGAGGCGACGTCCCAAGCTGCGTGTTAATTTAGAAGAGTTGCTGTCAGTTCACAGCACGAGAGGACAGGCACAGTAATCACCATGTGTATGTCCGGCAGTAATTGGAATGACAAAGCTTCTGGAAGAAATTAATTTAACCTTTTTTTTCTCCACTCAGAAATAGGGGGCTGCACAACCAATAATTTTCCTGATAAACATTAAACTTTTTAGGGATCTTTATGTTATCTGATAACTTGAAGATCAAATATGCTTTACTTTCTCCAGTGTGCCACTAATTTATCCCCTGAGCACCACTCTGCTTCTTGTCCAAACCACAGCGGAACAGGTCTGCCATTTCTATATCATGACAGATCATTTCACCGCTGTTTAGAAAAGGGCAGTATTACAATATTACTAAGCTCTGCTCCTCTCGATACGGTTAATTCCTCCATCTCACAAAACTATGAATGAACAGACTGGTAAGTCAGGAAACGAAGACAATTGGTGGTGGAAAACGGCTACCGATGGCTTGTTCATTACACTCTGGTTCCCTGTTTATCCAACTGTTATTCTTCAGTTTCATTAAAGCTTTTATTTCCTTTCCAACCCAGGATGGGCTGGTTTATTTTCAGGGTTTTGTTTTTTTAAGGGAAAAAAAAAAAACGCGAAGATGAGTTTCTTGATTGAGAGAGTTTAAACAATTAAATGAAGCATTCTTGAAAGAACTTCCTATCGCTGAGAGATTTAACAGTTCTTCCAGTTTGACTTGACTCACCATTTACCTCAGCTGTTGGGAACTGCACTTCTTAAAGCATCGAACCCTATATACACTGCTGTCCAGGACAGCACGGTACTTATGATTGTGCTCTCGTGCATTAAGCAGAGATCAATCTTTACACAAACATCAATTCCATCTTTGCCTGAGGAAGGTCTTGGTTTTCAAAGTGCTTCACCTGGAATCTGCTGCGCCACAGAAATCCAGAGATGCATTTTCTGCCAATCCACACTCTGGTTTTACTGCTCCAATTTCCGTTTGTATCCTTTAGGTTCAGCCCTAAAGAACACACACGCAACCCGTTTCACACAGAAAACCAACGGCTACTCCTCCGACGTACCCAGTCAGTGGTGAAGGGAGCACCGCTTGCCATCAGCTTTCGCACTTCGTCATCTTCGCCTTTGCGAGCTGCTTCTAGCAACCTCTTCCCTAGGTCCACTAAGGACATCTTTATACATGGGAACAAGTATTTGCCGAAAGCTGCTTTAAAAGGTGGGAGCAAGAAATGGAAAACAAACAACAAGCAGTGAGGCAGAGACATTTTAAAAGCGCTGTACAACTGCAGCCCATCCGGAGATGCTGTCTTCCCATACAGAACTAGGCCCAACATGACCAATATAGAGGCATAAACATTTATCATATTTTTCAGTCCCATGCCCTGAAGCATCAAGAGAAGGCAGCACACGGGGTCAGCAACCAGGTCAGACACCACAAGCCACCAGAGCTCCTGCAAAATCCTGCTTACCTCAACAGCGCTTTGCACGGACACAAAGACTTGCCCATGTGGATTCAGTTCCAACAGCAGAACCTACAAAAGCAACGGCAAAGCTGTTCGCGCTCCTTGCACAACATCATTTTGATTTTTAAAGCGCTTTAAGAACATGATTTAATCTCTGAGACACTCCCTCTGACCCCAGCACTAGCAGCTAAGCATGGGGGAACTATCCCTGTTCTCTGCTGGTAGAGGATAAAACAAACCTTGGTAGGTTTTATCCTCCAGTGACTTGTTCAAGGTCATAAAAGGAGCAAACCCCAAAAGCTGTGCTCAACGTACCAAACAACAGGGTCTCTATTTATTCCAAGCTACATAAAGCATAGCATAATTATGGCAATAGTGAACTATAGCATTTTTCTCAACGATAGGGTTACGCTGGTATGCCAGTCTTATCAAAGACTGACTTTAAAGTCTATCCATTAACTCATGTACAATGTTCAGCAAGCGGCTACAAACGAATGTCTGTGCAAACAGGCACCGTGCCACCCAGCATAACAGCGATTCCAACAGCACTGAGGCTCTCGACTGATTATTTCCTTCAATTTCTTCCATTACAGTTCTATGAAATAGTTGGAAAGCTCTCTTTCTTTCTTTCTTTCTTCCTATTTCTCGTTCTTTCGAGAGAAACATCCCACCCTGTCCTCAGTGACCAATAGAACCAGCTATCAGTAAAGCCAAACAGCAAACCTCACCCCTAAATCTCATCAGGATCCACTGCCCACATCACCTCCCTCCACAAACGCATCTCACTTTATAAGACTATTTTGAACCTGTAGCTTTTTCCAGGCGTGCAGTTATTACGTGCGACACCTGAGGCTTGGAAGTCAAGAGCCCAGAGCAGTTACTCCGAGTCTACCCTGCAGTCAGGACCTTTGATGCATTTACGATGCATGTGTTTGACTACCACAACCCCTCTGCCTTTTAGGACTTTCCAGTTTGGTTTTTTTTTTCCCCCCTTTTGCACTTCTTGTGGGACAGACAATATTTTTTCAATGTTCTTTCTCGTCGCCCACGCTGAAAACACTTGCATGTTTTCCGGGCATGAGTAGTTGCACTGAATTCTGCGTTCACAAAGTTAACCATCAGCTTACGTATTTGTGAGACCGGAGTTTACCACTTCGGGTGTGTTTGGAAAAAAAAGGAGAAGCTGGATCATTACTAAAACAGATCAAGTTTCTCTTCTCAAATTAAACTGAACCTTTATCACTTATTAATTATTTGGAGGCTTCTCCTTGCATTCCTACTCTCTTCCCAGCTGGATGCTTTCAGGGAGGATTTAAGTCTGAGGCTCCCTCTCTCTTTTTTAAGTTATTTACAGCATTCACAGCTTGGACTACTGTTGACAAAGTCCTCCACCTCCCCTTCGCTGCATTTCAGAAGAAAAAGGAACGAGCCCGCTTCTCAAGAACCCTCCACCTCCCTCTGAACAGCCAGTGCGGGGTTAGCTCTGCAGACCTGCCTCCAGACCCCCCCCCCCAAAACTCCCC